AAGCATTTGAGGCATCACACTTGGAGTGCTAGGTTGTTAAAGGCTTAAGGAATCAAGCTACAAGAAAAGGTATGTCATTCTACTAGATTTTTGTATTACATATACTTCATAGTATGCTAGTTAGGATGAAACCTTGGAAAAATGAAAGTTTGCATGTATAATAGAGAAAACATAGATCCAATGTTTCTAAGTTTGAATGCATAGCTTAGGAGTGTTAGAATGCTCAAAACCCTTTAGTTACTTCATCAATATCCTTAAGTTCATTATTGAGGACATATTAATTGTCCTCGTAATGAGTGACCATCCTAATGTTATGAATCCAATCATTGAAATTTGAACCATCAAAGATGACCCTCCCACAGAAGTTCATGAGGGAGAACGAGCCAGAAGCAGTGTTGGAAGACATCTGAAAAAGAAAGAAAATGTTTAGATTAGATAAGAATCCTTAATATAACACCCAAATAAAATAGTGAGGCTAGGACCCAACATAGTATTTTACAATTTCGGAAGAGGGATGTCGTCATCCAATTGAAAAATATTTGAAGGTAGGTAAATGACGATTTACCAATTTCCACCATGAAAAACGAAATTTATTATTAAGTTTTAAAAGGAATTGAAATTCCTAGATTCTTTTGAGATTCATTGAACTTTTCGATGGCATCTTTAAATCTCGATTATGCCCTTCAAGTTTATGACTAGGATACTGAGGATCACAAACAATGTGTGAATAACCATGCAAATATGTTTGGTACTCTTGATGTCATTTATCACCTAATCAATGTGTCAGTTAACCACACACGCTCCATTGATTTATGGCAAACATCAAGCTACCCTTTGCCACCCTTGTTAGTCCAAGTTAGTGTGTCTGTTAACCACACACGCTCCACTAACGACTTGGCAATGTGCAAAGTGCAATTTCATGGAATAGCATCATTTTCACATTTTTCCTAAAGTAACTACGATAGTGAATTTTATTTATAATTAAAAAAAACATTTAGTTACTTTATAATTATCATTATACTTTTAATGGGAATTGATGTCCTATCCTACCCGTTCGGCTAATGACCCTCCACAGTCAAGGAAGAGGCAAGTGAGAGTGGACACCTATTCAATCGCCATTTTATAGGCAATTTCCTTATACCCCCTTATAGACCGACTTCGTGATTGAGACCTACTAATAGTAAGATTGACTTGTCTTATATATCTATATATATATATATATATATATATATATATATATATATATATATATATAAGTATTAAAACTTTTAATATTATAATAGTATAAGGGTTGAATTTTTAAACTTTTAAAATTCTAAGCTTTCGAATTAAATGTTTCATAAGTGAGACTTTACAAATTCCAAAACATGAGGGCAAGTTTTGTAACTCTTTAAGACTTTTGGTTTCCATAACTTATTAGTTTAATGTTCATGAATGAGACTTTTCGTATTTCATAACTTGAGGACAAGTTATGAAACTCTCTTGAAGAACCATTTAGATCAAATATAACTAATTAAAATATCATATAATTTATTATTTACCAAGTTGATCTAATATAACTCACATAACAAGGAAATTCAACTCAAATAATACAAATAATAAACTTATTATCCTAAAATTTCATAATTGTCTTTTAATTGAATGAGGATAATCATCACCATATCAGTAAAAACAAATTTTATGATACAAAACAATTTGTGGTAATGATCCTAATCCAATTCTGGCCAAAAAGCTCGAAAATCTACAAGCAGAAGATTCTACTTGTCAAGTTCATGAACTAAACTCGTCGAGTTGCCAGTCTGTGAGTGAACTCATCGAGTCAGATCATAGGACTCGTCAAGTCCATCAGTCAGAGGCTAGAAATATGACTTTTTCAGATTTGAAAAACAACCATGCATCAATAGAACAGAAAACTAACCTGGCTCTGATACCACTGATGGGTTTTGAGCACTATAACATCCTTATGGTGCACATACAGCCCTAATGCTTTGGATCTAAGCTTTCTCTAGTTATACTTGCAAATTTAATTTTTCCAAAGCATGAATCCTATCTAGCATACAACTTGATATATGAATCATAAAAACTAGTTAGAAGATTACCTCTTGTTGTAGCTTGTTGAATTTGGCCTTTCAAAAGCTTAGCACCTTAAGTGTGATGCCTCTAATAAGTCACAAACACCGCCAACAATTCGAGGACAATGAGAGAGAGCTTCTAGGCACCTAAACTCGACTATACTCTTGCTAGAATACTTGTGTGTATCGATTTTGGGACAATGGGTTACATATATATAGTGTAGAATTCCAAGGGTCACTTGTAAACCCTAATCCATACACTTAGACTTATGATCCAATAATCCATATGGACTAACTCTTCATGGACTCTCACATAAACTTAGCCCAGCATGGATCAATAGCCCAAACCATATGTATCACAGATTTACATAATCAGTCCCCATCAATTTAATTAGTCTCTTTAAATTAATTCCAAATTAGTTCTTGATTAATACTAATTAAATAATAAGATTTCTCCACTAATATATTATACGTATAATATATTAATAAATCACAAAGAACCTCTTTCTTAAAATCCATCCTATCAAATTGTTCTGGTGAAGGCAACCCAAAAGGACCATGCTACTATCAGGTTAAATACATACCTATTATAGTTATGGACTTAGACACCTAATCCAACAAAACTATGTGCCAACATTGGTGTCTTCGACCCGCCAAACACAGTGAGGAAACTCACCTCAATCTGTTGAATCTCTCGGATAAAATCTCGAACTGTTGATCCATAAAAATCCTCATGCTAACACCATCAAATAATATCCAATTAGTAATTGGTCCACTATCCAAAAATGGAATCCTTGTCTGAAGTCCAACCCTCAGGGTAAAAGTCCATTTTACCATTTTCTCACTTGACCTATAACCCAAGGCTCATTCCGATTAGCCCAATAATGCCTAACTTTCTAATTGGGCCCAAAATCCATCATGGGCCTAATCTAAGAAGGTCCATAGCCTTATAATGCCCCAATATCAAAATACTATTGGTCGAATAAGGCCCAAATCCTAAAAGTCCAAATTATGACCAACACGTGAAAGTCAACAAAAGTCAAACTGCTGAGTACGTTTGGCATACTCAGACTTACGCCCAGCATACTCCCTCCGGGGCTAGTACACGCAGCATACGAGCTGGGTATGCCCCACATACTCCACAGACAACCAACCCAACCCATTAAGCACTTAAACGATTAAGCCATGATGTCCAAGTCTTAGATCTGGTCCTTAATGATGTCCTAAAACGTAAATTTGGCAACTTTACTCCCATGCATGACTTAATGGGATGCAAAACTCAAAGAGAACCATAATAAGGATCCTAACACATGCATGAATCAATATAACTTATAAAGATTGCATTTTTATAGACAATAGACCTCAAAGGTACTAAGATATAACATCCATGGCTTCTGGATTAGACCATACTTTCAAATATGTCTTAAAGGACCCAAAAATGGAAAAATATCACCCTAAATTGGATATAGCATAAGGAACCATCAAGTTGAGAGTTTTATGCCTCAAATAGCTTACAAAGATGAAGGTGATTCTAGACTTACGAACTCAAGCCACTCCAAAGCAACCTTCACATGTTCTTCTCCCTTCAAATTACCAAAAACACCACCAAAACACACTTCTAAGCTCAAATATCACAAAGGGAAATCAGGTTTTCGAACTTAGGGTATAGAGATATGGAGGCTAGTCATAAGAAGCACCCAAGGCAACATAAGTTGATTAAATAGGGCACAAACCCTAAAAATTAGGGTTTGCCCCTACTTAACATACGCCCTGTGTACTCCCACATACACCTAGCATACGTGGGTGCCTCCGCGTCCAACCAACGAGCCAGTACGCTCAGCATACTCATAGAGTACACCCCTGCGTACTTGGCTAGGGACTAAAAATGAAAGGAATTTTACATTAAGGGTTAAAAAGGAACATACCACTAAACTAGAATGTTACAATTATTAATTCAATGTTGTTTCTCTTCTTGAAGAATGAGATAATAAGCAGTAGATACGGTGGGTAATGGTTTCGTCATAAGAATTTGTCTTCTAAAAATCTTATATGAATCATTTAGTCCCATTAAAAGCTGAATTAGATGTTGATTCTCAAGAAATATATGAATTGTATTTGTATTAGCACAAGAACATGGAGGTATGTCTTGAACAACACATATTTCCTCCTAAATTTTGGTCAATTTAGTGAAATACAGTGAAAAATCATCATTACCTCGAGAAATGGAATATAGTTGTTATTGAATTTGATATAGCATGGCTTTATTTGATTGTTCATATCATTGTTTTAATTCTGACCAAATTTTAGAAGCAATTTGTAGAAAGATGACACTTTCAACAATATTCTTCGAGAGTGAGTTTAGGATCCAACTAATCACCATATAATTTTCTCGATCCTAATTAGGATAAGAAGGTGAAGTAATCAGAGGTTTAGGAATAGTTACATCAACAAATTTTAACTTTTTCTTAGCAGATAATGAAATCATCATGATATTTTCCATGAAGTGAATCCAGATTCGTTGAAATAGAGGTAACAAGAATGGAATTGGGATTATGAGCTAATGAAAAAAAGGATTCTACCAATTAACAATAGCATGATCATTTTTCTCCATGATTGATCAAAGAAGAAAATAAATTAAATTGCAAAACGATTTGAATAATATCGTTCTGCTCTAATACCATGTTGTAATCAAGAACACAAGAGGAATATAGAGAGAGAAAATGAAAGAGAAGTGAATTTCTTTCAGAATTCTTAATCAATACAGAACTAGAACATTCACATATATATAGATGTAAACAAACTCCTAACTACCACAGTTCTAACAAACTAACTAAAATGAAATAATTAAATCACAATAATACCCCCATGTAGTTAGATTAGTTAAAGCAACATAACTTGTAGATTCAGCCACTGTTGTAGGTGGCTCCGATGAGGCTGGAATTGAAGTCGGAACATGGGTTTGAGAAGGCGAGTTTGGTACAGTTATGGAGATTTTTGATAGGACCAGGAAATGATTCAAATAGATGTGTCAAACAAGATTCGTCTTTCTTATATGGGGTTAATGGTGGGAGGAAGATGAATATGAAGATGGAGAAATGGTGATTGAGTGGAACTTGAACCATGGCTTCCTTAGTCATCGAAGACGACACACCGATGTTGTTGAGGCTACCATACTATTTCTTGAACTTATTTTGTTGGAAACTATTAATGAGATGTGTTATTAAGAAATGGTATGGTTTGTTTGAAAAGAGAAAATTATATGACCTAGAGTATGATATGGAATTGGGATTAGAAGGGTGGTTTTATTTTGATCACCAATGAAGGGAGGCGATAGGGAAGAAGATGATGGAGTGGGTGATGTTTTTGGTGGTGTTTGTGAGACAGAGAGGGTTGGGATCTCATATTTATTATTAATAAAGGTTTAATTTAAATATAAAAAACATAAAACGATGTATCACAAGGGTAATTAAGCCTTTTCAGTTTTCCGAAAGACAAAATGCAAGCAAACCCGTTTAAAATGACATTTTATCTAATTTTTGAAGCTTTGGACCTTTTTTACTAAAATAATACAGACTATAAGGATATTTTTTGCAATTTTGTCAATAAAATAAACCATTTTTACAGTTTTGTCAAAAAAAAAAAATGAAAAATATAGAAAAACACTACAATACAATAGTTTATAAAAGCAACAGGTGGTATGTTCAATATTTATTATATAGTATTGGAAACAAACTTACGTAATTGTAAAGCATAAATACTTTAGCAATGGGGTCTAACTAACACATCTAGGAGGAAATCAATATAAATTATAGATGCCTATTGAGGTTCAAGATGTCGATACCAGTAATACAATGATACTACAAGAATTTTTTACTCAATTTTAAGAGAAATAAATACAAAAAATAGGAGGACTAAATAGAAAGTATTGAATACGATGGTTATATAATTCATTTTTTCCTCATATTTGACTAATTGACCATTGGAAAGGAATCAAACCAAACACATAGATAAACGTGGTCAATTTATAAAAAAGGTTTCGTGACTCATGAGAGGCCCATTCAGACACGGCATTACTAGTACTATTCCCTCCGTCGGAAGATTCTGGTTGGGCGCCTATCGTTGTCGGAGACAGGAGATGAAGAAAAAACTAACTTTTCTTTCAAATTTTTTATCACCTACTTATCATATTAACAAATAACAATCCCTTCACATTATGTTAACTTCTTGATCGATACAAAGCAAAAACAGCCCTCCATCTGTTCTTTTAATTCCTCTGTAAGTTTCTCAAACTACTTTCACTTAATTTCATCTAAGTTTGTTTATCTACTGTTTCCTTCTTGTATGCAATGCTGTTTATCGTCGTTCCTGTTGCATATTTCTTGTTTATACTTTAAGTTCTTGTTTTTTAAGTTTCTTTCGATGGTTACTATAGAAACAGATGATTATGAGTAATTAGAATGCATCTTCATTTGTTTTTTACAGGATGGAGCTTACTTTGACAAATGATACAACTAATCTGAGTTACTGGTTGACATGGAACTTCTTACTATGTGCAACATGGGTCTTTATTTCCATGGTTATAGCATCATATCTAATTTGGAAATACGAAGGGTCAACTAATACAGATAATTATAAAGAGGTGAAACATCAAGAAAGGGTGTGGTTTAATTATGATTCTGAAGCATGGATGCCATGTATAAAGGGAATACATCCTGCATGGTTATTGACTTTCCGAATCATTTCCTTTTGTTTGCTTCTAGCAGCTGGAACTTCGGATGTTGCCACTCATGGGACTGATTTATTTTTCTATTATACTCAGTAAGCTCCTCTTTCTTTCTTAATAACATTGCAAATATCTTTCTTCAAAAAAAAAAAAAAATATATATATATATATATATATATATATATATATATATATATATATATATATATATATATATATATATATATATATATATATATATTCCATAAGCACAGCTCAATTCACATTGGAGTTGAAACGTGTACACTGGATTGATTATTGAGATTCTTCTGATTTCACATTTATGATATTGTATAGGTGGACTTTGTCTTTGGTTACCTTATATTTTGCGGTATGTACGTTTTCTTTATCCAAGTTTTGATTTTTCTAATGCAAAAATGCAACAAAGTTACACTTGAAAATATATCACAAATTTTCGTTGTATTTTTTTAGATCTAATGACTATGCAACGAATTGGATATCTTACCAATTATACAAACATGTTTAGTTTGTTACGAAATAAATTGGTAAAGTTATGGTAAAATGTTGAAACATAGTTGTATAAATTCGGAAGAAGTCCACGTTGTTGCATATTTTGGTTAAAATGTATACCTTTGTTGCATAAATAAGTAACTAACCCGTTTTTTATTTATTGAATTTGGATACACTTGTTCTTATATATGTCTTGAAGTTTGCTTGTAGTTTGGATCAGTGCTCTCGGCTTATGGATGTTTGAGGCAACATAAAAGATATGATGTGGGTGAGGTGCAAGAATTTCTTTTGCCTCTCACCCATGAAGAGAATACAAAGAGTCACCAAGGAAAAAGTCGTTTTTTGCTGACTGCTTCATTTTGGGGCTACTTATTTCAAATCATGTTCCAGGTATATCAACCTACTTTATATCGTACATAGTACACATTATACAGTACACAGTTTACAGTTTACAGTTTACAGTACACAGTACACGGTACACAGTATTTGGTTATAATTTATTTGTTTGTTACACATAGATGATTGCTGGGGCAGTGATGCTGACAGATTCCGTTTATTGGATAGTGATGGCTCCATTCCTTACGGTCGTAGGTTATGAAATGGGTTTTGTGAGTACTCACACTTTCTTGATATTACAATTTGCTCATACTTTGTTGAACATTTTCTATTTTTTTGCATTATTTCTAGTATGTCATATGTGATGAAGTTAATTTGATGACACTTTAACCGGATAATTTTCAATTTGTTCCATTATTGTGAAAATTTCTAGGTTTTTATTCCGTTGTTTGATAAAAAAAAAAGTTCTCTAAATAGTAATCAAGTTTTACTTTTGTTACAAAATAGTAGTCTTTCACTTTGATATTGGTGTTTGTTAGAGTGATTATGGTATTGATGCTTTCTCAACATCTAATGACATTGCCTGCATTGAATTTTTTTGGACGAATAAAATATTTCGAAAGACAAAATAGAAAAAGATTGTGGAATAAATAGTGTAACATTTTCCATAAATGTTCTTCTGTTCTTTCTTGGATAGTAACCATCTTCGTTCGTTTAAGAAGTTTAACTTTTCTTAGTAGAAATTGACTTAATAAAAATATATCATACTTTTTTTAACTATAGAATTATTATTTCAAATAAGGAATTTTTTCATAATAGAATAAAATTTCACAATAATGGAACAATTATCTAAACTTTGTTACTCCTTTAATGACGTTGTCCCATTAATGTTTCAACATGTTTAGAACAACGAACAAAATTGAAACTTATAAAGTTTCATAACAATGGAGCAAAAAATACAAAATTTCACAACAATGTAACAAAACTAAAAGCTGAGGTGTTAAACCTCTTGAAAAAAAATAGTTTAAGGTACTTAGGTGTAATATTTAAGACACTTGGTCGCTATTTAGTGGTACTTTTATATTTTGCCTCATACGCTTACAAAAATTTCTTCTTACTTATAACAACAGTTGACCGTTGTTGCACATTCACTTAATCTTGTTTTGCTCCTTGGGGACACAGCCTTGAATAGCTTGGTAACGTTTCTTCTATATTTTCTTATGTATTTTTTGTTTACTTTGGTTTTTAATAATGATTTTTCTTCTATAAACTATTAACATGTTAAAAAAAACATTTTTCAGGACTTCCCTTGGTTTCGAATTTCATACTTTCTATTATTGACTAGTTTCTACGTGCTTTTTGAGTGGATTATTCATGCCTTTGTTGTGACTTGGTATTTTTTTTCACCTTAACTTTTATTTATATTTCAAACTCGAATCTTTATTGTTTTAATTTAGTTGTAATTTCTTTCTTTTCAGGTGGTCATACCCATTTCTTGACTTATCAGTAGAATATGCTCCATTGTGGTATGTATTCTCAAACATATAATATGGCATTGTACTTTCAATTTTTTATTTTGTTATTAAGGTATTATACCCTAAAAAGTATACTCAATTATAACAATGAAAATTGCTTTGTATTTGGACGGCATTGCTACAATTAAGATGAGTTTTTGAAGCAAAATGTTGTAATAAAAAGAAATGAAAATAAAATGTTGTAATAAATAAATCAATGAAAGTATGTTGCTATTTCTTGCATTAAACCCTTCATAAATGAAAAATATATCAAATATGGTTGTGAAAATTATCATTAAATGAAAGAAGTAGCAATATACTTTTATTGATTGGTTTATTATAGCATCATACTTTCATTTCTTTCTAGTATAACATTGTATTTTGAAAAACATACCCAATTATTGCAATGCGATGCAAATACAAAGCAATTTTCACTACTATAAATTTGTAGTTTTTTCAAAGTATAATGTCCTAAAAAAGAAAAAAAAACTGAAAGTAAAATATGAAATTGAAAGAAATGAAAGTATAATGCCATTATAACAAAATCAATGAAATTGTGTTGCTATTTAACCATTTTATACGACATAAATACTAACATATTCAATATAATTTTTGATTTTGTTATACAACATTATACTTACATTTCTCCTATTACAACATTGTTTTTTGAAATATCTACCCAATTATAGCAATGTGATGCAAATACAAAACAACTTTCACTCCTATTTCACACAATAATGACCTAATAAATCAACTTCAAAGTACATGCTAAATATTGTATAGTTTTTTAGTTCAATCTAACGTTGTAAAACATCTCATAAACATTATGCAGGTATTTGATCGTTGCATTATTGCATCTTCCATGTTACACCATCTTTTTGCTTGTTGTTAAATTTAAATATCACATATTGTCTCGATGGTTTCCTGATTCTTTTCAATCTTTAAGATGATTGTTTAATGTTGAAGAGCATATTGTTTTTGTATATGACTCTAGTATTCTTTTTCTATGAATCATACAAAATAAAGCATTTTTTATAACTTTTAATCATCATGGAAATTAATGATGAATTCTAGTTTTTTGTTCAAAGGGCACAACTAGTACAACCATGTATGGGATTCTCTTTATCTAAAGTCAATTTGTTTACACATAATGTTATCAGTAATACCCCATTTTCGCCTTATAGTATAAATGACCAGTCACGTAAAAAACTTCTTTGATAGAAGACTATTTAAGATAAATAGTCTTGATGAAAGTCGTAGCAATCACAAATCCGAGAGCATTCATAGAGAGAACGACCGAATCCGAGTTCATAACAGGAAGTTATGATTTTTAGAAGTTTCAGCTCAGTAGTATATTACACATAATCCAAATTAAAGATCGGTCGATTGTTAGGAAAATCAATCTAAACGAGAGCTGAAGATCTCATCCATATGATTATGTTGATATAAAGACAGTCGAGAACATAATTCACATAGGAGAGTTATGTTTTTTATACGGGTTTTAACAATCTAAGCCTGTTAAAAATATAGCTTTAAAATAAAATCAAAATTATCCAACAGAGTCTAAATGGAGGTTGTAGATCTCGTCGCTAGCTGGGCGTAGATATAAAGAACATCGAAAACGGAGCTCATATGAAGAATATATAAAATTTACAAAATTCATGTTTTGCACAAAGTGCGCAACGTGCAACTTCTAGAAGGTGCAACATGGACCACAGGTAATTTGGCACGTGGTTGGAAGCGGATGGATCGATGTTACCCTAGTACATGACACGCACCTATAGTGCACGACGCGCAAACTTACTATAAATAGATGTCTTCAGCTTCCTTCATTTCTCACCCTTTCCTCACACTCTCTTCACTCCAACCTCTCTGGAAACCACCCACCCCTTGACGCATTATCTACCAGTTGAATCTCCAGTAGAATCGTCCAGATAGCTGTCAATCTTCTGAGTAATTGTCCAGGTGAGTTACCTCACTATATCATGTACTACAGTATATATCCATGTATGTTAGGATACAAGAAACTGTAGGATAGGCTGATATTATAGTATTTTTGGGCCGAATGGGAATATGCATAAGTTAGTTGGAGGTGGTTGCAGTATGCTATTAGGCAATTATATTAGTTTAGTTAGTTGCACGTTTGTGGACTTTTTATCTATTTGCTATATATGTGTTGATATGTTATGTGGATAGTTGAGGTGGCAGACCAGTTTTATGCTGAAACAAAGGGGTGAACTGATGGCAATAACAAATTAAGCGATTGTACAACAACTAAGATGCAATCATCATGACTTATAACACTTATATAAGGTCTTTAGCATGTCCTAGGATGTCTTAACATTATCAATTAGTAGTTTAAATACTAATTGGATACATATATGTGTGATTATATGTTAACTAGGATCTTTGAGTGTGTACAGGTCTTCACTTGACACTTAGCAATCCTACATCGTTCAGTTCATCCAAACCACCATCTACAGGTGAGTTCATACCCCTTAATAAATGTTTTAAATGGTTTTAAATACTTTAATAGGGGGGGATACAAGTAGAAAATAGCATGTTATAGATTCAATCGCATGTGATTTATAACTGTATTTTCAACCAACTGATTTCACATACTTCAAAATGTGATACATGAAAAGGTTTTTTGTCTTACAATATTTTGTTATCAAATGAATTACTTTTGAAATGTTTTATAAAATGACATCAAGTCATTGTTATTTATTGTTCAAAACTCTTAAATTTTTTACAAAACCTCTTTCATCTTCTTGATCAAAACTATATCTATACACTTATGTTCATATATATATGTATTGATATGATAGCTTTCATCCTTCATTCAGTTCCCACACTCTTGAGTAGCAAGGGTGTATAAACCTTCTTAAACATCAAATACATTCCAGTAAACTATGGTAGGGATAGTTTAGGGGATACAAAACATTATTCCTATTACAAAGGAATTACACCAGAGTCAGTTCATTCATGAGTCTATACTAAATGATATATGAAGAGATACACTTACCTGGATCCTATTACATGGATACGCTTACATGGATACTTGTACCTAGATACTATATGATGAGATACTATTACATATTATACGTGTATATTAGTTCTGTCTATCCTAGTACAAAAGGATTTCATACGAGACTAACCATTCTGGCACCCACCTGTTAGCAACAAAGGTAATGAACATCTATGGATGCCTAAGGTTAATACTTATACTAGGCGTACCTTTACGGGACTAACCATTCCTTCAACATGCTATTAGCTACAGAGGAAAATGAATCTACGGAGGTTCAAGGTTAATATTATTCGGCAGTCGCGATGTCAGGTTTATCCTAATGCAAAAGGATAATACTTATATGGCTATATTTTCCCTATTACTTTTATTTTGTGATACGTTCACATAAACGATGAGGTAGACTATATATTGCTAATAGTAGTCATACAGGGGGGAAAACCATCTTTATTACTTTCAAAACATTCAAGTCTTGGTAGAAGACTACTTTTATACTAGTAGGAAATATGGGATTTTCTAGGGTTTTCATACTTATATCAAATGTTCATTCAAAGATTTACATGGCATTCATAATAGCTTTCCAAAACAGAGTAATGACACTTAAATACTTATGAATTCACCAGCTTTATGCTGATCTACTCTTTCAAAATAACTTGTATTCTCAGGTCACCAGTAGACAGGTACGATGACCAGGTTTTGACAAGACGAAGCACAGACAAGACTCGTCTTTTATTTTGATTACATATTTTGGTGTCTTATTACTATTAAAGAACACACATGTATTAAAACTTTAGTTTTAATGCAATGGATGATGTTGTTGCTTGTTTACTACTTTACATTGTTATGATACTTCACATGACGTCCTCCACCCCTGAACGTTTCCGTCGTTCTTGGTTTTGGGGTGTGACAGACTCAGCTTTCTCAACACAAATCCTAAGATCACTGGTGAACTGAGAAACATGAGTGGAGACCTAAAAGAAACGCAAACATCAACAAAAGAAGAAATGGGTATGATAAACTAACATAAATAATTGTTATACACATGAAATTTACAGCCTAGGAAAATGAGGTCAACTTCCCAAGAGCATCCTCTATGTTGAGGTTCTCTAGTTTAGAATCTATAGCCTCAAAAATCTTCCTATTTTGGGATCCTGGAGTCTTCACAACCAGGTCAAGTTGGGTTTTCTTTGAGGGAGGCAGAGCAAAGGGCTTCTTCTGGTTAATCCTGACCAAGCCACTAGTCATGTCATACTCAAGGTCAGCCAAATTGAAGCGAGCACTGGAGCGGACAGTCATGGAACTTGTACAAGAAACAAGGATCCTAATGAGATCGAAGATCCAAAGACAACAATTCGAATAAAAAAGAAAGAAAGATATACTTGTAGTCATAAAAGTTGTGTTGGAAGGTCCTTCTTGGAGACTGGATTGATCAAGTCTGGGAGATCTATCTGCCTCCAGGAGAGAAAGAAAATTAACAATCTTATCCTCTATGTCCTCAGCAATAACAACATGCTCCCCGAGCTTGAAACCTATAACAGAAAAACCAAAATAAGAATAAGATTTAAGGATCACAAGGAAAAGTATTGAAATCCTACCCTTCTTAACTCAATTTTTGGGTAAGAGATCTCCACCAAGAATATAGTCACGCCTCATAAAGAAGTATCTCCCCTTCCAAGTCCCATCATTGTGTTTTGTTTTTAACACAAGAAGAGGCTTGCCACTCTTGACCTTGAACAAGAAGCAATAATTGTCGAAATTTGAGAGATCATAGACATGGGCCAATTCAGCCAGACCCATGCTAAGATCATGTGTCTGATTTAGACAACCAACCCAATACACATGATCCTCCAAATGATAGGCATCACTTGGACAAAAGAAAGTTTCGTGATCTCGAAAAACTCTGAGACTACTTCGGAAAAAAGAATTAAAAGCCTAAAACAAAGAAGGGATACTCCATAAAGCACACCCAAGAAAAGAAGATGAAGTCTGGTTTGATCAAAGGATCATAAGGTTTGTAAAGCCCTGTTTATTTATTAAATCATAAATTAATTAATGAATGAATTGAAGCCCTAAAATAAATAATTATATGTCAAGGTTGGTCTTGAGGAGTTAATGGTCACACTTTAAGAGATTGGGGGTTATATTGAAAACAAATGTTGTAGGGAGGGGTTGAGATTGGAAAATCGAATATAAGTTTGAAGATCATGGGATTTAAACCCGGTGACCCTCCTTCCCGTTTAAAGCCATCGCTACCAAAACCCTAGCCTCACTCGTTAGATCAGTCGCCACCTTCATCTCTTTCTCTCTCTCCGATGCCTCTTTCTCCTGCCGTTTACTGCTTCCCCGATGAATTCCTTAGCGATGTGGTTTTCGGAGGTATAAGCAAACCGTGAATGCAGCCGCCACCATCCCCTATGAGCATCCCAGCCGTCACCGCCTTTGGTTCATGTTTCTCCAACCAGTCACACCTCTGAGCAATCGCTGCTATCAGCCTACGCCCTTACTGTTAGGGTGGGACGTCGTCCAACTGCTTCAAAGCTCCATTGCTGATGATAACGAGGACCCGAGCCGGCGTTCATCAGGTTGTTGTTGTCGCTCGCAACCTTAGCTTCATCTCCGACCATTGAAGTTATGTTTCAACGATGCCAACCTCCAAGTCGAAGGCTGAAGGCCGCCGTTCACGTCGTGTCTCACATGTATCGATGGGATGGGCAGAAGATTAAGAGGAATCATCGCCACCACCTCTGTCATCGCTAAAACCCCGTCGCTGCCGCCTCTCCGTGACTCTGCCATTGCCAAACGTCACCAAGAGAGTGGAGGTTCTCCTGTTCCGGGCAATACAAGGGTGTGGATGTGTTTTCTGTGGCTGTTTGTGTGTTCTATGCAGTTTCATTGGTCGGAAAATTGAGACAAGGCCACCACCACCACTGTGAGGTGGTGGCTGCCACCATACACCACCGTGTTTGTGTGTGTGTTAGTAGGTGTGTGTATTTATTTGGTATTTGGCGTTGTAAATTGTAACAAAC